CATATTTGGTACTGTGCTCTAATAATATTAAATGATGCCCATAAGATCCTTAATTTATGCTAAATGGTCTCAGATTACAGCATTGTTCACATTTGGCCTTAAGATACATATTTTAATCACAGCAACATTATGAACTCTTTGTTTATAAAAAAGGACCAAAAGTAAGGAACTACAGTTCTTGACACTTGCATTTATATGTTTGCAGACTTATTGGGCAGAGACAATCACTATATTCATCTGAGCTTTATTTTTATGGTGATTTTTTTCATGGTTAAAAATGTTATTCTTTTTTTTTTAAGATTTATTTTATTTATTTGAAAGTCAAAGTTACAGGTAGTGCCAGAGAGAGGGTGGGGGTCCACTTTTTTACTCCTCAAATGCTTCAGTGGCTGGAGGATCCAAAGCCAGGAGCTAGGACCTTCTTCCGGGTCTGCCACGTGGGTGTAGGGGCCCAAGGATTTTGGCCATCCTCCACTGCTTTCCAGGCCCATTAACAGGGAGCTGGATCAGAAGTGGAGCTGCTGAGATTCAAACCAGCACCCATATGGGATGCTGGCACTGCAGGCTGGGGCTTTAACCACTATGCCACAGCGCTGGCCCCTAAATGTTATTTTTTAAAGATATTTCATGAACTCCTTGATCCTTATATTTCTTGCTATGACAGGTGAAGAATAAACTTTTCTCACCTTTTATGATTTTTATTGATTTTTATATCTTTTGTTTATCACTGTAAAAGTAAATAACATATTTGTATTTTTTAATCTGCTAACTACAAATGATACTTCTTAATTCCCCAACTTGTAACATGAAGATTAGCAAGGGCAACCTTCCCTGTCTTCTGTTCTCTTTTTGATTTATCTACCATTTAACTACTATTTATCTACTATCTATAAATCTACCATTTATCTACTATTTAATTCTATTCCTGCGTTGCCATAGTTAATGGCATTTACATTCTATAGTGTAATAATAATTAGATCTGTGCTTTATGTGTTGACGTAGGCATCTGAAAGGAGATAAACAGCATTTATGTCACTGTTCTTCCCTAAATGACAACTGTTGCAAAGTAGTGTTGTTATGTGTTCCTATTCTGCAGTGTTCTTGTTGATGATCTCTGCCTCTCTCAAAAAAATGTTCCGAACAGTCTTTTCCATCATCAGTTTATCAGAATTATACATTTTGGTTTGCTACTTGTTTGGACCTTTTCTGTTCTTTTCCTTTCCTTTTTCCCCCAATTTTGATAACCATTTTCCCAGCTGTGGGAGCAAATGTATCTTACTTGCTAGGGTCTTAATGTCTTTCAGCTCCTTCTGATTTTAATGACGGTTTAGAATCTGTTCTCTTCATCTTGTCTAGTTAAAGTGTTGCTCTAAATTGTACTGGTTGCTTTATAGTTTCATAGTTAAGACTACAGCTTTCTTAAACATCTTATACTCTTTTTACCTTATCACATTTCTAATTGGCTTTTTTCCTTATAGTGCTTCAGATTCTGTTTTTCATTTATACTGCCTTTCCTGTCAGTTATGCTAAGGTGATTTCCCAAGAATGTGTGGTAGGTAAATTTCAGGTTCTTCACATTTCTGAGAACATGTTTGTTTAAACTTGATTATTCAATATAAAATTGTGAATCAAAAATGATATCCCAAACTCTGAGGAATGTTTCTATTTGCTGTTACCTAGTGTTGCTAATATCCAGTCCAATTCAAGCCTCATTGTTTGTTCTTGTTACATTTTATTTTTTTCTAAAAATATTTAGGATACTCTGTTTATCTGTGATGTTATAAAATGCTGCAGTATTTCTCAGTTTTGCTGTTTTCTCATTTCTCTTATTCCTTATTGGGGAAATAATTTTTATAGGATTGCTTTCTTTTATTTGAAAGGCAGAGTTAGAGTGGGCCAGGGGAGGGGAAAAAAAAAAAAGATTTTCCGTCCACTGGTGCACTCCCCCCATGGCCACAACATCAGGACATGGGCCAATCCAGAGCCATGAGATTCCTCCAGGTCTCCCATGTGGATACAGGGCGCTAATACTTGGGCCACTCTATTGCTGACCTAGGTGCACTAGCAGAGAGCTGGATCATAAGTGGAGCAGCCAGGACCGGGGACTGAACTGGCAGCCATATGGGTCGACAGTATTGCAGGTGGCAGCTTTACCCACTACGCCACAGCACCAGCCCCAGGGGAAATAGTTTTTAAGCTAAAGATTTGGTCTTTTTTAATTGTGTTGTTCTAGAAATAGAATTTCCTTTGCTTTATTCTCTTCTCTTTCTGGACATCTTTCTGTTTGAAAGTTGGATTAATTGGATTGTACTTCCAAGTCTCTTTCTCTCACTTCTCCCATATATTATACCTAGGTCTTCTTTTATTCTGTTAACTTTATTTTTTAAAATTTATTTAATTGAAAGACTGAGTGACAGAAGGAGAGACACAGAAAGAGAGAAAGATCTTTTATCTGCTGGTTCACTCCCAAATTTGCTGCAACAGCTGGGGTTGAGCCTGGCTTAAGCCAGTAGCTTCATTTGAGTCTCCCACGTTGGTGTTAGGGGCCAGCTCTTTGGGCCATTATCTACTGCTTTTCCAAGCACATTAGCTGGGAGCTGCACCATAATTGGAAGAGTGAGGACTCAAAAACTCAGATATGGGATGCTGGTGCTGCAAGAAACAAGTTAATTTACATCACCACAATGCTGGCCTCTGTCCTGCCAATTTCACTTAACTCTGTCTTTTAATGTTGGCATATTATTCAAGTGATCATATTTTAAATCTGTCAGTTTTTCTGTCCCTTTTTTGTTACCACATTTTTCTTTTGTATTTGTGTGTATGTGTGTACTGTTGGCTGAAGCAGTCTGTCATGGGCCCTGAGTGTCCCTGTATGTTCTCACTGAGTGTGTCAAGAACAAAGTGTAGGCTTATTATCAGATATTATAAAAAGTAGTAACTCTGGGGCCAGCATTTTGGCATCGCAGATACAGTCACCAGCTGCAATGCCAGAATCCCTAGTGGGTGCCAGTTCATGTCCTGGCTGCCCCACTTCCAATTCAGCTCCCTGTTAATGGACTGGGGAAAGCAGTAGAAGATGGCCTGAGTGCTTGGTCCCCTGTACCTACGTGGGAGACCTGGATGGAGCTCCTGGCTTAGCCCTGGGTGTTGTGGCCATCTGGGATGCCAACCAGCAGATGGAAGATCAGTCTCTCTTTCTGTGTCTCTGTCTTTCTCTCTAACTTGGACTTTCAAATATTTTTTAAAATAGTAACTCTTCTGAACTTAATGTTTTTTCTCTTACAACACAGTTAGCTATATATGCAGGTGTACCTTTGTGTCACCCTGTGATTCTTGGAGGCTTAGGGAATGAATGGATGCATTCAGAAGTGAAATCATAAAATACTTCGGAGATAGGTATTTGGTGTAGTGATGAAGATGCCGATGTCTCATAAAGAATGCCTGGGTTCAGTACCTGCCTCAGTCCTGATCCACATTTCCTGCTAATGGGGACCCTGGTAGGCAGCAGTGACAGCTGAAGGAGTTGGGTCCCTGCCAGTCACATGGCTTCTCTGGATTAAGTTCTCAGCTCCTAAATTGAAACTCCTCACCATAGTGAGCATTTTCATGGTGATCCAGAAGCTGGGACCTGTTTCTCAACGTCAAATAATTTATTAAAACAAATGAAGTCTTTTGATTCAGTACCCATGAAACAGTAACAGACTAGCATGTTAGCTTGTACATAGGATAATGTTTTATGCCCTGCACATTTTTTGACAAAATGCTCTACTTTGACTTTTTATAGGTATATTAAATTTTAATTTCAATGTTTTGACCCTTTAACTGGAGTCATTTTTGCGTGTTTGTAACATTGTTTTTAATCATGTCAGGTTTTCTTCACATATATGATAATTTTTTTATATTCTAGATATTAACAGAAAATCCAGCATTGGGAGTATTGGCAGATGTTTGTGTCTGCAGTTCAATATGAAGAAGTTTTATTTAGGACCTCAACTTTTAGTTTCATTTTTTCAGTCTTGGGAGTCTTACAAATTTAGTGTTTGTCCCTAGCTTACCACATTATAGTTGCCTTTGAAAGTACACTTTTCCTCCATCAAAACTTTTCTACAAGCCTTCTGTTTAGATATTTCTTGAAATCTATTATGTGCAGTAATTCTACTCCAACACTTTTTGTTACTGTAGAACTGTATCTTTTTATTTCTTTGCTTCTTTTTGGGGGAATTTTTTTTTAATGTTTTAGCGATAACTTGTTGCCTCATGTTTGTATTACTGTGCTTATTTACTTCTAGTAATAACATTCTCCTGTCTAAATATAAACCTTTATCTGGAAAAATCAATAAAATGTCCAATAAAATGGATTCAATGAGTAAATATGGTCTTAGAGGAGAGTTTTATTGTGCCATCTGGTTTAGCTGCTTAGAGAAATTTTTGCTTACTTTAATGCAAATGCATTAAAAATGCATATATAATACACCATAACTCTGTTTATAACTTTAGAATGTATTTCCTTATAATTTTTGTGGTTTTTTTTTGTCAAGCTTTATTGCAAATGTTCTCCAAAATTGCCCTTTGCCTTTTAATACAAAGAATTAGAAAATTCAACTTACATGTGTAGAAGTAGGGGATCACAAAATGTTTTTGTCTCCTAGAACAAGATTTTTTTTTAATTTAAAGGACCAGGCTAGACTTGTGTCCCATGTAATTGCTGTTACAACTAACTTTGTCCTCATAGCATAGTCTTAAGAAAAACGTAAATGAATCATTGTGGCTGTATGGCCATAAAACTGTTAATGGCAGTATAATTTAAATTTCATGTAATTTTTACATGCCATAAAATATTTCTTTGTATTTTTATGATCATCTAAAAATATCAAAATGTATTTTTAGCTTGTAGTTCACAAATGGACTGGCCAATTCTTGCCCTATCATTTCTTGTTTTACCAACAGCTTGTGAATACTCGAATACTGATGTTTGTGCTCTGCCCCATTATCCTTATCAGGCAAGCTAATGAAGAATACCAAATACTGGCTAACTCCTGGCGCTACTCATCTGCTTTCTGTAACAAACTCTTCTTCAGTATGGTGGATTATGATGAAGGGACAGATGTTTTTCAGCAGGTAAAAGAGTTTTATTTTATTTTGGTAATACATAACATAGTTGGTTATGGTTTATGCATCTTTATTTGCCAAATAAAATAACAATTCATTGAGCAGGTTAACATATGCAGTAAATAGTTACAATAAATTCTGTGACATGATTAAAATAATTACAACTAATGTTGTCTTTATCATTGTATGGTTTTTGATGTTAATATGGTAGACACGTTTTGACCTTTGCATTGTAAAGGAAAAACTTTTTTTCAGCATGTGGTGACAGTTTGTGTGCATTAATCTTATTTTGATATTTAAGCAAATGTGATTTAGGTTGTACTTTGCATACATTTTTGACATTTTATATAAAATTCAGTGCAACTTTTACTTAACCTTGATTTCTTCCAGTATGGTATATAAATCCCAGACAATTACACCTCTAAAGTAGTAAGTATGTATATAAAAGTGTTTTCTCTAGGTTATGGGCTGAATTGTGTCTTGCTAATTGCATATGTTGAAAATCAATGTGATTGTATTTGGAGATAGGGCCTTTACAGAAGTAATTAATGTTAAATGTGTCTATAAATCAGGTAGGACTGATATTTGTGTAAGATAAAAAACATCAGGGGAGCACGTGTGCTGAGAGAAACGCCACATGAGCACACGGGGAGAAGACTACCATGTGGAAGTCAGGAAGAGACGCCTTACCAGAAACCATCACTGCTGGCACAGTAATCTTGGACTTCTATTCTCCAGAACTGGGAGAAAATGAACTTCAGTTATTTACACTGTCTAGTATGTAATTTACTGTTAATGCAATGAGAAAAGATTGCCACTGCTGTGTACAGTCTTCTCTCTAGAGCAGTGTTGGATTTTGGTATGACAATGCTAGTGGTCCTGAGTGGTGTTTTGATTGGGTCACCATCCTTGTTAGTGATGAGGGCTTATAGTCCAGGCCCTGCTTCAAATGGATCCTCTTATTTAGCTTTACCATGATCCATTGAGGGAAATGTTGCTGCCATTTCACGTACGAGTAAATTAAGGTATGGGGATGTGTTGGTTATTCACAATTACAAAGACTGCATAATTTATAGCTAAAATTTGAACCCTGGTGGCTGGCTTCCAGAGTTCTAGTAGCTCCTAATAATGTTGCCTTGTAGTTAACAGTTTTTTTTTTTTCTGTTTTTATTACCTGATCATCCTTTTCAAATTAAAACTTGTTGCAGTACTGAACATTTGTGGGTGTAGTTATCTTGTACTGTTTCATTTTTCTCACCTGATATCCTTTATCATATGTTCTTCTAGGTCATGAAGAAGCATTTAGCTTTATAGAGAATCTAGCTGACTAATTGTAGATGGGCCATCTGTGGGTAGTTTTGCTTATTTGCTTCCAGGTTGATGATTTTTCAATCTTTGTCAGTTTCTAGTTGAATAAGAGGATTTATTTCTTTTTGCCTTCATTACCCTTTTCCTATCATTATTCTTCACTTATTCCTCCATGAATTTATTTTGATGTATCCAAAATAAATAGGATGTTTATTTGTATCTTGAGTGTTTCTTTGTATTAATCAATTCAGCAAATATCATTGAGTGCCTACTATGTAGGGGCAATATTGACAAGAAAAGTGTGCATATAAGAAGCTTTCAAATTAGAAACCTAATAATAGTAATGATAATGTCATAATAGCAAACATAAGCATATACTTTCTGATAACTTTATAAGGGAAAAGTATGGTACCACAGGAATCAAATATTTCATGAGATTTATAGGTCTCTATAGAATATTAGGAAAACTGACCTTGGACATCATTAGGTGGAATTTGTACTGATTATATATGTATTACATTGTGTATTACAGATTATATATATTTATATATAAATTCTCCCTACTACAGTAGTCGGCTGGGTTCATCCTGCCTGCTGGAGCAGGGGCTTTATGCCCAAATGCTCACCCGAACCATTTTGTAAGCTAAAGAAAGTGGGTCGGGTTTAGTCTGGTTATAATTCTATGTTAAATATCTTTTTAAAAAATTTTAATGGAAGCACCCATATCACTTTGCTCCTGAGTACTCTGAGAAATAAAATCATATAAATGACCATGCATTCCTATTCCAGCACTTCTTCCAAAGCATCATATTTGTAAACTCCGTGACCTACATCGTGCAGCTTTAGTCATTCCTACAGGACTCATACAGAGTGGAAGTATTTTCCGTTATGTAAATAATCATGCAAATAAACCATGCATTCGGCTCTTGGTCTCATTCTTGGAGAAGCTTCTAGAAGACGTGTTTGAGCTCAGTGGGAGAGAAGCAGTTCAGCTCTGTCTCTGTTGAAGACATGCAGGTTACATGTAGCGAGATATATTTTTCAAAAAAAGACTCAAATGCAAACTGCTGTATGAAATTTCTCTATCTTTAAAATACTGGTAGCTTACTCAGATTTTAAAAAGAAAAAAAAAAACTTTATTGGACATCCTACTTCTAGCTTTATACCAAGCACTAACTATTGATTGCTTGTATGTCACTATATAACTATATGATTAGATATAATCAATAAATACCTTTATATACTTTAGACCTAATTTTTTAAAAAGTTCAACATAGATATGAGAGATTAAGACAATATTGTTATAATTGAAAACTTCTCAGGTTAATTTTGATTCAGCAGAATTGCTGGTACAGAACTGCTTTGTCTTTTGCAATACCTAGCCCCTGGCAGAGCAATAACACTTTTCATTTTAGAATGCAGAAATGCATAAACATTATAGCAGTTAATGGTTTCTAGGAGGAATTAAAACCTACAAAATTAAGAAGTAAACATTTTACTTCATTGGAAGAATACTAAAATTTTTAATCCTTACATGTTTTCTTTCCTGCTAACTATGGAGTCATTTTTGTCAAAGCAATCTCAAAATTGATGTTTTAAAGCACTATCAGCAATAGTGTGTTATCTGAAGATAATAATTGTAACAGGGGTAGAAATTTGGTAATTTCTGGTGTATGGGAACTTAGTAAAATACTTTCAGCTCTGAATGAGTCCTGTAGGAATGACTAAAGCTGTGTGATGGTGGGTCATGGAGCTAACAGATAGGATGTTTTGAAAGAAGTGCTGGAATAGGAAACAGCTCTCTGTTCTTTTTGTGTTTAGCCTTAGGGAATTTGTAGTTTTTAGTTAAAGGAAGGCTTTGAGTTACATGGTTTTTTACATCTGAACGTCTAGGCATTAAGCCTTAGTCTATATTTTCAGATCTAATGCAGAAAGTAAAGATGAAGAGAACATCTTCCCTGTAATACTAGATTTACATGTTGGCTGTAGCTATCTCTTGTACATCCATGATAAAAACATCATTATATGTCTTGAGTGGGAGAGCTAAGGGGAGGAAGGAACTTGTCAGCATCACTAAAAGTACGTAACATTCAGAGCCATTGCTGAGGAATGGGGCAAGATAGGCTTCTGACATACAGAATATATACACACATATATACACAAGCACACATGTATATCATATGTATGTATATAAGGGGCATATTCTTATTTGTAATAAGGATGCATGTACATTAAGATGTATGTTATAGTCTGTATGATGTCTATATTGCAGGAACTTGCTCCTCTAATTCTATCTTCATGAAATTTTTCAAAATTTTTATTAAATTTTTTATGGAAAATTCTTATATTTTGTTAGAGTTCAGAAAGCATTATGATAGAGTAATAATGAAGTATCTCAATCAGAAGATCTAAGTTAACAGTTTAGCTTTGTCTCATGATACCTACTTGATCTTTGGTAAATTTTTTATGTGAGCTTAGGCCTTTACCTCCTCTTGTGTAAGAGAAGGAAAATGGTAATGTGTTTCTCATAGGACTGTTGGAGATATTCAAATGAGATACTGTTGTATAACTCCATGCCTAACATATGAATGTGTATTAAATAGTTGTTACTACTGTTATAACATTCCAATAATATTGTCATGCAGCCTCATACCTACCCAGACTGCCTTATTTTTGCAGATATTTGCTAAATCTAAATTCTGTAGAAATAATCAAAAGGTAGGGTAAAGGTATGAGAACAAGAAATGAAACAGGGGTGTCTGAACCTTGCTTTAGTTCCTGCTACTGCGACAGAACACCTGAGACTGGATAATTTTTAAGAAACAAAAATGTATTGGCTCACAGTTCCAGTGGCTTAGAAGTCCCATACGTGAGGGTATCAGCTTGAGGCAAGGTACTATTTGCTGTGTCATGGCAGAAGGGGAGAGGGCTGAACTTGTTTGTAATAGCACAGTCCCACCCATTACCTAGAGATCTCTTTAAATCTCACCTTTTAATACTGTTAGAGCTGAAAATAGATTTAAACATGAATTTTGGAGGGACATATATAAACCATAGGAAATATGGCCAATTGATCTTTATCCAAACTATTTGAAGAGTAATACTGTAGGCATGGAGTTTTTATTGTATTTGTAATACTAAAATGAGAAAATTTTGATTTGGAAATGTATCTTTTAGATATTCAGTTCTTTGGAGCTAAACTCTCTGAAGCCCTATAAAGTGATTTGGAGTCATATTGTGTATATGACAGCTATAGTCCGAGTTCAGTTAGAAGGCAGCAGTTGTTTGGATCTTGACTGTAAATTGTTATTGTTAGTAGATAGACTTTTACTTAAGTACCTTAATTTGATGTCAGCTATGATCTAATGTTTATGCCATTTATTTGCTTTTGATTTTTTTTCTCATTATTGGGAAGTATAGAACTATATTTCAAGTCAAGAGCCAAAAATCTAGATTTTTTTTCTTTAAGGCATTTTTCATAATTCCCAGGCAGCAACAGTTGATTTTTTTGTTGTTTACTATTCAAATTAACCAAATGTGTGTTTTAAGATACTATATTGTTAGTAATCATTTATATTGAGATATTATCCTATTTAGTATAATTTCAAATGGAAATGACTTTTGACAAAATATTTCCAGTAGCTCTATTAAAGCAGTTGAATTAATGAAGAAATTTAGCAGAAAAAGACTATCATAGGCATATTCTCTGGTAAAGTCAAATTTTAGATCAAAAATGTTGGTTTCTGTTGCAAAGTCACATTTGTTAGGAAAAAAGAGAAGTCTTATATTTTTTCACTGGGAGCCCAGTCCACTTATAAGTTGGAAGCAGTTCCACAGTGTGTTTATTTTTCATCAAATTCCCGTGCTTTTTAAAATAAATTTACGAGGTAAAATTAAGGATCAGTCACAATATTTCTGTGTTGTACTTTCTTTCAGTAACTTCTTTATTCTAATATAAAATTCTAGAAAGTAAAAGAATGAAATACAGGGCACAGTTTAGCAAATTAATAATGTATTTTGAGGGCCCAGAGAATTAGTCAAATTCACCATTCCTTTTTCATTCAATAGTTGCTCTAAAATGAATGAGCAGAAATTAAGCCCTGGATAGCCTTTTCATAATAAATACTACGTTTCTAAAATTTTATGGAAAATATATAAAATGTTAGTTCAACATTATATAAAGAATAGTGAGGTGGTGTTTAATATTTTATCTCGTATTTTCTAGCTCAACATGAACTCTGCTCCTACTTTCATGCATTTTCCTCCAAAAGGCAGACCCAAGAGAGCTGACACTTTTGACCTTCAAAGAATTGGATTTGCAGCAGAACAACTTGCAAAATGGATTGCAGACCGAACAGATGTTCATGTATGTTTTATTCCCTGAAGATTTAATAATAGGCTAATTAATCTGGTTTGTTCATTGCAATAAGTACTCAGAAATATTAATATATATATATATACACACACATATAGTTTCTCTTGGATATTTCTCGTTACATAGAGAAAACTGTGATGGACAACTACACACAAAAAGTTGAATTTTAACTGATTAGTTGAATTCAGCTGGTTTTTAGAATAACGATTTATGGATATTTTCAAAACCATTAAGGTGTACATGTTGGTCACAAAGTAATTTCTTCCTTAAATTATTTTAAGATTTATTTATTTACTTGAAAGTCAGAGTTACAGAGGGGCAGAGGCAGCAGACCAAGAGTGAGAGACAGTCTGAGAGACAGAGACAGAGAAGGAGAAAGTCTGCCATCTGCTGGTTCACTCCCCAAACAGACGCAAGAGCTGGGGCTGGGCCAGGCCAAAACCAGGAGCCAGGAGCTTCTCCCAGGTCTCCCACATAAGTGCAAGGGCCCAAGGACTTGGCCATCTTTTGCTGCTTTCCCAGGTGCATTAGCAGAGAGTGTGATTGGAAGTGGAGCAGCTGGGATTTGAACTGGCACCCGTATCGGATGCTGGCATAGCAGATGACGGCTTAATCTACTGTGCCACAGTGCTAGCCCCACAAAGTAATTTCACAGGTTAAAAAACATTGAAAATGGTTCAAGTTATTATCAACGAAATTCTAGTTAAGAAAGAAGTGTATAAATTTTATCTATCTTTGGCAAATAAAAAATGTAGTTCTGAGTTAGAGCCTTGTAGAAAAATACCTACTAGCATATCTGCTCTGAGACTGTAAATTTATAGAACTATTCTAACTGCATGTGTCATCTCTTTTTTATGAGTATAAAAACTGAAAAGAGTTCAGAAAAATAGTATTTCTAGTCTGATCTAAAATTTTTTTCTTAAAACATGAATTTGAATATTGAAAAACAGAAAACATTTATTCTAGAAAGCAGTGAACCAAAATTTTGTTGGTGGTCTATGTAAAGGGCTTATGGCTATTTTCTCTCTCATCTCACCATTCTTTTCTGTAGTGAGTAAATATCTGGTATCTCAGAAATAGATTCATGCTGCAAGTAATAAAAAAAAAAAAAGCATTAACTTTTACTTACAATGTGAGCACATTTATCCTGAGTCAAGGAGGTTGTCACGTGTTTTTTTTTACCGACATCACTTAAAATTATTTAATAGATTTTATTTATTTTTATTTTTTATTTTTTGGCAAGCAGAGTGGACAGTGAGAGAGAGAGACAGAGAGAAAGGTCTTCCTTTTGCCGTTGGTTCACCCTCCAGTGGCCGCCGTGGCCGGCGCACCACGCTGATCCGAAGCCAGGAGCCAGGTGCTTCTCCTGGTCTCCTGTGGGGTGCAGGGCCCAAGCACTTGGGCCATCCTCCACTGCACTCCCGGGCCACAGCAGAGAGCTGGCCTGGAAGAGGGGCAGCCGGGACAGAATCCGGCGCCCTGACCGGGACTAGAACCCCGTGTGCCGGCGCCACTAGGCGGAGGATTAGCCTAGTGAGTTGCGGCGCCGGCCTATTTAATAGATTTTAATAGTGTTCATATAGTTAAACTTGTTTCCTGATTCTTCTGGTTTTGAACTATTTTGGAACACATGTTGTTAGGATCCATGAATAATGATTTGAAAGACTATTACTAACTTTTTATAAGAAATACTGATTTTTACATAGAAATTATTTTAACCTGCCTGCCTGCCACACTTAAATGTTAATTATACTTCCAAAGTATTTAGAGATTATTTAAACTTTAAAAATTAAGAAGTACAAATAGGCCAGTGTATATTCTTCACTGAATTTTATTTATTTTTTTTAAAAGACAGGTAAATTGCATTCCTAGAAATTCATGAACATGATTTAGTTTATAAATTTAATAGGTAGAGATAATACTTTTATGTGAGCTAGTACTGTCAATATTAGAATTTTGTCAGTTAACCTAGTATCATACATTTTCACCTTTTCTACAAATCCATTCTGCAGTCAGTCATTTCATTTAGATGTTAGATCTTCTAAAAGCATTTTTTAAATCTGAAATATTCCTGCACCCTATCCTTTAAACACACTGCCATTTTGAAGAATGCAGCCCTTCCTCTCACTTTTTAAGTAGAATGGTAATCATATGGTCTTCCTGATGATGTTTGCTCCTGACTGAATTCTGCTTTTGCATTCTCTGCAAATGTCTGCTCGTATCTGTAGATACACAATGTCTGTACGTACAACTTGGATGACACTAGATTTGAACATTTGGCCAATGTGTTTCCTATACTTCCACTGTATAATAACTGGTCTTTATTTTACTCCTTTGTAGTTATTAAGCTGGTTGTGTAGAGAAACTTTATGATCAAGCAAATATCCTGTTATCAAAATTTTCTTAGCCTCCAGTGACATTTCTTGCCAAACCCAGTTTTGATCATGATTGCTGCAAAATGCTGAATTCAGTTCTAGTTTTCCATTCATATTTCTAATTGCCCCTTAACTTTTTCCCCTCTCTCTCCTATCTATCTAATCTAATCTAATCTAATCTATCTAATCTATTTCTGCATTCCATCCATCCATCCTTCTGTCTGTATATATATAAAATCATGTCTTTATCATTGGTATAGACTCACAGACTTGATTTTATATTGTGCGTATTTTCAGAAATGTCTGCATATTATGTTTTAGCTTCTTACCAAAAACTTCTTGACTAGGAAAAGATTGCCTCTCCCAGTTATTGCCTATTACTAAAGATAACAAAGGGCCCAGCCATCTTTTTTTTTTTTTTTAAGATTTATTTATTGAAAGGTAGAGTGACAGAGGCAGAGAGAGAGAGAGAGACAGAACTCTTCCATATGCTGGTTCACTCCCTAAATGGCCACAACGGCCGGAGCTACACCAAACTGAACCCAGGAGCCAGGAGCTTCTTCTGGGTCTCCCACTCGGGTGCAGGGGCTCAGGGGCTTGGGCCATCTTCTACTGCATTCCCAGGCCATAGCAGAGAGCTGGATCAGAAGTAGAGCAGCCAGGACTCGAACCTGCACCCATATGGGATGTCGCTGCTTCAGGCCACCGCGTTAACCTGCTGCACCACAGCACAGGCCCCTTAACTGTAATTTTTAAAAATTCCTGACATAATTTATTCCAGACACGTCTTGTTAGCATTCTGTTAGGCATGTCTTTGGAAAGCCTTGGTTTCTTTTAGTGGGGAATGCTGCTAGAACTGAAATTTGTATGTATTTTAGAAATTGTGAGTTAATACCAATTAGATTTTTTCCCTAAAAAAGTAGAGTAGCCTTAGCTTTAAAGGACTCCATGAAAAGTAAACAGATGGTCCACTGAATGGGGGGAAATATTTCCAAATCATATTGCTGATAAGGAATATATATATAGACATGTACATATGTATGTATGAATATATATTAAATCTAATGTATTAAGTTAAATTAGATTAAATCTAATATAGTTTATATATGGTGCTACTACAACTCAATAATAAAAAGATAAAACTCAGGTAAAATGGGCAAAGGATCGAAATAAGCATTTTTTCAATGAAAATGTATATATACCCAATAAGGACATGAGAAGATGCTAAACACTGTTAATTGTCAAGGAAATTCAAATCAAAACCACAGTGAGATACCACATTACACTCATTAGTGTGGGTAGACCGTAAGTTACATCATAATTTTTGGTGAGGAAGTAGAGAGATTGGAATCCTCAAACACTGCTAATAGGGTTGTAAAATGACACAGCCACTTTGGAAACAGTTTGGCAATTCCTCAAAGTTTATGACCCATCATTCCAATTCTAGGTGTCTACATAAGAGGTGAAAGCATGTTTCTGGAGTAACTTGTACCAGAATATTAATAGCATTATTCATAATGGCCATAAAGTAGAAACAACTCACATGTTCATCAATTGTTGAATGAATAAATAAAATGTGATATAACTATATAAGGAAATACTACTTAGCCATAAAAAAGAATGACGTATCCATGTATGCTACAGCATGGATGAACTTTGAAAACATTATCTAAGTGAAAGAAACAAACCATGGGGCTGGTGCTGTGGTGTAGTGGGTAAAACCCACTATGGTGCCGGCATCCCATATGGGCTCCAGTTTGAGTCCCAGCTGCTCCATTTCTGATCCAGCTCTCTGCTGTGGCCCGGGAAAGCAGAAAAGGGCCCAACTCCTTGGGTCCCTGCACCCCTGTGGGAGACCCAGAAGAATCTCCTGGATTCTGGCTTTGGATCAGCACAGCTCTGGCTATTGCAGCTATCTGGGGAGTGAACCAGCGGATGAAAGACCCTCCCTCCCTCTCCCTCCCTCTCCCTCTCTCTCCCTCCCTCTCTCTCCCTCCCTCTCTCTCCCTCCCTCTCTCTCCCTCCCTCTCTCTCCCTCCCTCTCTCTCCCTCCCTCTCCTTCCCTCTCCCTCCCTTCCTCTCCCTCTCTCCCTTCCTCTCCCTCTCTCTCTCCCTCGGCCTCTCTCTCTCTCTAACTCTAACTCTGACTCTGACTCTGACTCTGACTCTGACTCTGACTCTGACTCTGACTCTGACTCTGACTCTGACTCTGACTCTGACTTTCAAATAAATAAAGCTAAAGAAAAAGAAACCAGTTACCACACAGCTTATGTTAGATTAAAGTCCAGAATAGGGGTATCTGTACAGAAGGAAAGTGGGTTAGTAGATAGTTAAGTATGGAGGTTGGAAGTTCTAAGTGAGATAGTGAGGTGATTAAAATGTTCTGATGACTGTGATGGTGGTGGTGGCATATATCTGTGAATATAATAAAAACTATATATTTTGAATGAGTGAATCATGAGATGTGGATTATATCTCATTTAGGTCATGAAAAAGTCTTTTCAAAGGTTCTACTTGGATGTAATATAAATATTATGCTGCTTACCCTTTCTATTTTCTGGGTGACCTCATGGTCTGTGGGTGAACCAGAGCAGCTTTGGGTTGAGTTATATGAACAGATTTCATGTGCTTGAGTGAATTCATGTAAAATTAAGAACAAACCTTTGTACAAAGTCATGACGTTTTGATGAATGTATTTTTGACTCCTACAGAGTGTAAAAGTAATGTGATTGCTAGGTACAATCATGTGGTATATTTCTCAGTGACTAGGAGGGCTAGGATATGCTTATGAGAAAAAATTAGTATTTCTTTGATTTTTAAAATTCTCATTGCGTTTTTGCAGATTCGGGTTTTCAGACCACCTAACTACTCTGGTACCATTGCCTTGGCCCTGTTAGTGTCGCTTGTTGGTGGTTTGCTTTATTTGAGAAGGAACAACTTGGAGTTCATCTATAACAAGACTGGATGGGCCATGGTATCTCTGGTATGTTATGATATTATACTTTATTTCCTATATTTTTGATAAATAGTAAAACTTGTATAATATAACTTGTACCATATTAGCAACATGAACCATATTGTTACTATAATGAAAACAAATTTGAGTGGGAAGAATTAACTTCTGAGGACTTGGATGATACAGTTTTACTTCATTATCAGTCTAAGTTTTGCTGTCTTTCTTCTTCTCACAATTAAAATGTAATGTCTCAATGCAGTTGGCATACTAAAGTGCTACATAAATATTTTGAATGCATTTGGAAATATGATAAGAACTAATTAGAATAATTTCCAAACTGAAGAGATTTGGAAATATGCTCCTTCATCTGTTTATTTATTTATTTTTGTCCCCCAACAGTTGTTGCTTGGGTTTTATCTACCTCATGGTTGGAAACCTTTTTTCTTTCAAGCACTGTTGGTATATTTATAAATCATTTGCAGGCTCTACAAAATTATGAACTTCAAAATTAGCCTGCATAGATTTTTTGAATTTTGAGTCCCACCTGCAGTTGCCTTGCCAGGGCCAGACCAGATGAATTCGTGGGCCATATATAGCCCGTAGACTGGATGTCATCTACCCCTGATCAACATGCTTGTGCATAGGTAGTAGAGATGTACAGTGTGACTGGATTCGCTGTGAGGAGGTAAGCAGGGAGTATTAAAAGAATACAGATAAAAGGTACCTCACCTAGAGTAAAAGGAATCAGGACAGGTTTCCTGGACCATGGCATGAATGGAATTTGAAGAGTAAATGAAGTTCTATCATAGGGGGACCAGATAATCAGCATTTGCAAAGTCTCGCATATTCAGAGAACTGTGATTCTGTGTGGCTAGAATAATGCTGGCCAGGCAAGAATGAGGAAGAGATGGAGCTGGAGAGGAAGAATGGAACAGTTTGATCTACACGCTAGAATTTCTCCGCTGGGCAGAGGGAAGCCATGAAAGTATTCCAGGGATACATGCTGTGTTTACGAACAATCATTCTGATAAAAATGGGAAATTGATTGAAGTGGGTACGTGTGGCAGTTTGAAGACTGGTTAAGAGCGTTAGAAGCATCCAGGTGAACAAGATCCTGTTTCAGTTTGTACAAAAGTATTTTTCGTTTTATGATTATGATCATACTGAATATCTTAAAGTAATTAGTAAAATGAAAAATACAAGCATTATATAATTCAAATATATGCAGATGATGATACTATGCCTGCTGATTAAAATGTTGGTGTTATAAATAGTACCAGAAAATGTATGCTATGCAAATAGACTTTAAACTGTTACTAGAGAATAAAATGCTTCCTGATATATAGAGGAATAATATTTTTCATTTTGCTTTTCTGTATTCCTTGGGAGACTTATAACTATTTAAAGCAAAATATATCAGCATTATGTTAATTGATGAGTTTATATTCTGTGTGTCTGTTTATGACAATAGTGGATAGAAAAAGATGAATTGAACTGTGCTGTTATGATGTTCCTATATCTTACCAAGCATGGTTCAGCATCATGTTTGTTATTTGCAATGTATTTAAAATGGACATTGTAATTCCCAGAGGAACAACCAGAAACATACTACAATGTGATATAGTCAGAAAGCCAATGGAAGGATTTAAATGGGATGCTGTGTTTGTGTGTGTGTGTGTGTGTGTGTGTGTGTGTGTGTGAGTGTGAAATGAGCTCAAAATAAGGTATGAAAGGAAGAAATAATGAAAACTGCATGGAAAACAATACAGATAAAACGTGACAGACCTATATACAATTGTATCAGTATACTTATGTACATTAAATATAAATGGACTTGACTTCCATTCAAAAGGCAAGTATTTACACGTTGGACTAAAGTGCTACAGCAAACTGTATGTTTTCTTGGGAAAAACACTTGAAAGAAAATGATACTGAAAACAAAAGAATAGAAATATACACACCAAAAAAGACATAAATAAATGGAGAGAGATACTGTATCCAAGGATCATAAGACTTAATATTGCTATCTGACATTTTCTTCAGATTTATCTGAAGTATACTTTCTCCTGGCTCTCCTCATTAAACCTTGATATTTGACATAGAGACCCTTGGTCACTTGCATAGAGAAAGATATTGGCCTAATCCCTAGTGTTGCTTATTTTTTTTAAGATTATCTATTTGAAAGGCAGAATTACAGAGGCAGAGGCATAGAGAGAGGAGGGTCTTCCATGTACTAGTTCACTTTCCAAATATTTGCAATGACCGGAGCTGGTCCAAACTGAAGCCAGGACCCTGGAGCTTCTTTTAGGTCTCCTATGTGGGTAAAGTGGCCCAAGTACTTGGGCCATTCTCCTCTGCTTTCACAGGCCATAGCAGAGAGCAGGATCAGAAGTAGGGTAGCCAAACATGAAGCAGCACCCATATGGGATGCCGCACTGCAGGTGACAGCTTTAGCCACTATGTCACAATGCCAGCCCTGTGTTGCTGGGTTTTAAAAGTTGATAGGTCTTTGGGACATGCTCAGGCTGACTTGCCCCAAGTGGTGGAGTTGGAAGCATACCAGGGGATTCCAATTCAATCCCATCGAGGTGGCATGTACCAATGCCATCTCACTGTTCCAGGTGATCAATTTCAGTTCACAGTTGGTCATGGTGGAGGGACTGGGAGTCAAAGGGAGCACATAGACAAGTCTAGTACCTGCTAATACTAACCGATGGAGTAAATAAAGGGGAGAGTGATCCAACATGGGAAGTGAGATACTCAGCAGACTCATAGAATGGCGGATGTCCTAAATAGCACTCTGGCCTCAGAATCAGCCCTAAAGGCATTCGGAGCTGGCTGAAAAGCCCATGAGAGTATTTCAGGCATGGAAAGCCAAGACACTCTGGCAAAAGATCTCTGCGAATGAGATCCCAGTGGAAAGAACAGGTCTTCAAAGAAGGAGGTACCTTTCTCTGAAGGGAGGAGAGAACCTCCACTTTGACTATGACCTTGTCTAAACAAGATAAGAGTCGGAGAACTCAGAGGGCTTCCATAGCCTTGGAAACTCATAACTGGAGCATAGGGAGATTGCTGATGCCATAGACAGGAGTGTCAATTGGTAAAGTCAACAACAGGAGTCACTGTGCACTTACTCCTCATGTAGGATCTCTGTCCTTAATGTGCTGTACATTGAGATTTAATGCTATAACGAGTACTCAAACAATATATTTCACTTTGTGTTTCTATGGGGGTGCAAACTGTTGGAAATCTTTACTTAAGGCATATCAAACCTGATCCTCTTGTAAAAATACATTAATGACAACAATAAAACAAAGAAATTATCAATTCCCAACTTGACTATCACTGGAGATTAAACATGACAATAGGTCTGCTCTGATTTCATCATCATTTAAAAAAATCATCTATTATTTTTCACTTTATGTTTCTGTGTGGGAGCAAACTGTTGAAATCCATACTTAATGTACACTAAGCTGATCTTCTGTATGTTAAGATAATCGAAAATGAATCTTGATGTGAATGGAAGGGGAGAGGGAGTGGGAGAGGGGAGGGTTGTGGGTGGGAGGGACGGTATGGGGGGGAAGCCATTGTAATCCATAAGTCGTACTTTGGAAATTTATATGCATTAAATAAAAGTTTAAAAAAAAAAAAAAGAAAAAAAAAGTTGATAGGTCTTGGTAAAGAATCGCAGGGCTCTCCCGTTCATCCCTAGGCTTGTCAGGGTATGTGAAGTGATGGTCATGGATCCATCAGGGGCTGTCACCATATGCACCTTGCCAAGATTTTCTGTCTCCTCTCCTTGCACCCCCACCCCCAGCCTCAAGTCTAGCTTTGAGTGTTAAGGATGTGGTGCAGAGAGCCCCAAGAGAGCAACAGGCCTGGCCACAAAACTGTTCCTGACTGACAGTTCCTCTAATGGAGGTTGGAGGCAGAGGGTGGAGCAGTTTCCGGCAGAGCCTGGGGTTCTGCAGAGGACATGCTGCAGCCTGCTGAGGGAGGCTACAGCCAGTCAGCTCAGGCGCCTCCCTATAGGCAGTGCTGTGTGGCACTGTGACAGTTTGTGGGTGGCGCCTGGTTCCTACCCTTATGCTGCTTTTTTTGCCCTGGTCAGTCTTTGAGGCAAGAAGCACTGAGATGCACATGAGGAGCCAGCACCACAGCACAGGGGATTCGAACTGAATGCATGATAGGCTGACTAACTGGCAGATAATGTGGAAGTGGCCGGTCACTAGTGCCGCTCCTGCTGGCACCATTGCTGTTCCCTCAGTGGCTGCTGAAAGCAGAGATCCCTGCTAACCTAACCAGCCTGGCAACATTCGCTAAGTTTGATGAGATTGCCTCCTCGATCTTGAAACAGTACTAATAAAATAAAAAGTATATGCAAACAAATGGGATATCCTGAAGAAATGGATAAATTCCTAAAAACATACTCTCTACAAAGATTAAGTTCTGAGGAAGTAGAAAACCAAAACATAAAAAATGTGTGTCTTGTCCCTCTTTTTTTGGTTAGTTACGGCAATAGGCAATAGTGAATCAATTTGGTTCATTTTTTTCTAAAAAAACCCATCTCTTCATTTCACTGTTCTTTTGTATTTTTTTTTCAGTTTTGTTTATTTTTAAATTATTTCGGGGCCAGCGCCATGGCTCACTTGGTTAATATTCCACCTGTGGCACCAGCATCCCATATAGGCTCTGGTTCTAGTCCCGGTTGTTCCTCTTCCAGTCCAGCTCTGCTGTGTCCCGGGAGGGTAGTGGAGGATGGCCCAAGTGCTTGGGCCCTGCACCCCATGGGAGACCAGGAGAAAGCACCTGTTTCCTGGCTTTGGATCGGTGTAGCGGCCATTTGGGGAGTGAACCAACGAAAGGAAGCCCTTTCTCTCTCTCTCTCTCTCTCTCTCTCTCTCTCTCTCTCTCTCTCTTTCTCTCTCACTGTCTATAACTACCTGTCAAATAAAAAAAAATCTTTAAATTATTTTGTTCCTCCTACTAAATTTGAGTTTGCTTTGTTTATTTTTCTAGTTCCTTGA